CTCATTTCATCAAATAACGCTACAAAGGCCCAAGAAGTGTAACAAACCCATGGTTTGCCAGAAAAAAGTGCTACAATGGAATCTTCAGGAACTACGTAGTGACGTAGTAGTAATGCCCTTGTTATTAGTAGCTTTTTGCTACTACTAGTAATGCATAGTAATGCCCTTTGCTACTAGTAGCTTTGCCGGCAGAAGAGTGTGTTCTTTTTGCTGCCTGTCCAAGGACCTTACCGCTTGGAATTCATGACGATCCACCGTGCTGCGCTGCGCTGCGGATGAGGACGTTTCTGCACCGACCATCACTTCTAAGCGGAGCCTTCATGGATCTTTCATGGATATTTCCCGAGCTATCACCCGACCCCTTGATTATCCCAACAACTATAAGCTTGTAGATCTCAACAGCTGCATATCCCAACAACTGCCCAAACCGAGGTCAAAAACAAGGCCCCAATAAACCAGCATCGACCACATGCGTCGTCGTCATCATCATCATCATCATCATCAGCAGCAGCAGCAGCAGGAGGAGCAGGAGCAGAAGCACGGGGAACCCCTTTGAAATAAGCACAGGACTTCTCTGGAGCCGATTCATTGGGTGAGTTCAATCATATGGGCATTTCGTGCCATGTCCAGCCATTAAAATCCAACAGAACCTGCTTCTCTCACCTCCTTCATCACCCCTGCCTCGGCTCTGGTGTGGGCCTCTCACCGCAGGCCAGCATCTTCCGTGCCCTCAGCTTCGTGGAGCCCAGTGCTTCTTCAGTCCGTGCGGGGCCCGGGCACGACTGGCATTGGCCAACAGAGCCTTTCCGAAATAAGGCACCTGACACATTATCTGAGTGATGGTTCAAACATGTTCAAAATCCGAAAACCTGCCGTAGAATGTGCCACATCACCACTGGGAGCTTTCCACATATCCACGACCTGGGAGCCAAGGTGTGGGTGTTAGTGTTTGGTACTTGGAGCATGTGCAAATGCCAACTAAATGAAGCGATGCATCTAAACGCATGCCAAAACAGGCACACTTCCATTTGCTTAGGTTCATCCAAGCTGAAGAGATCTTAGGAGACCCTCTCCCTCTTCGGCTCTTGCTTTTGCTTGGGTGCAACTTCCCCATTTCGGCCGCCCATTCCCACGCACTTTCCTGGCGATGAAGGCGTCGGTCCAATGCACCGAGAGTCTGAACCATGGGTCTGGACTCGAGGCCCTTGAGCTGCAAGATTTGAGCCGCCTGCGGTGCGCCCAGGACGTGCGCAGCGCGCGCGCGCGCGCGCCCAGACGGTGCTCGGAAGGACGAGTGTGCGGCTTTCGGCCGTGGGGGGTCCAAAATGGAGAAAACCCCAACTCTGCCTGAAAAGGTACAGGCTTGGACTCTGAGAGCATCCAAATCATCACCACTTCCCTGTTTTCCGTGTGGCCTCCCCACAGGCAAAACTTCAATACCAATAACTATACTTAAACCTAGACCACATCCAAGTCCTCAAATCCCCAAAACGCATGTCGCACAAGCCCCCACGCATTCCAATTCCGCGGGGCTGTTTGACTCAATTCCGCTGGTTGCCTTCATCTGGCGAACCTATCAGAATCGGTTTGCCGCAACGCTTCTGCTTCTCCTTTCGCAGCCTCCGTTCCCAGTCCATCTCGCAACCTCCCAAAGCGTCGCCTGTTGTGAACGCTCCTCGGATAGAAGCACGATTTCCACCGGCTCGGTCCTTAGAAAAAGTGAAAAAAACATGGGTGCAACGGTGCCACCAACGGCATGAGCTTACGTAGTGTTTCTGTCGACAGCCCCCAGCTTCCCGATCTTGAGGCCACATGACCTGCTGGTTCACGTGACCTGCTGCTGGACACGTCAGAACAAGTCCAACAAGTCCAAGGTCCGGTTTGTGACCTGGCTGGCCTTGCGGGGATTGGCAAAACCTTTGCCTTGGGCTGGCAAGAAGCGAAGTTCGCGACCAGACGGGTGATGCCACGAAGAAGTTTTCGGTGCCAAAGTCAGTTCAGTGAGGTCATTGCTGAAGACTGCCACTAAGTAGGCCGTACTAAGGCCTTGCATGGCTATTTCAAACGACATGCTGTGCTCATTTTGGTTGAGGAATCTTGCAGTTCTGAACGAACCTGTGACAGAACCAAGCCGGCTGTTTGATTAATTCAATCCAAGATGGCTCCAGAAACAACGACTTCCAAGGTGAAGACTCGGATTTGACAGTGTGAAGACTCCAAACCTTCTAAACAAAAGGGGGCCAAGCCTGGGTGTCTTTTTTTGGGTCATTGTCCTTTCTCTGTGTTCCCAGACGCTCCGTTCAAACAGCTTGGCCCGGTCCCTCAAAACGGGTCCGACAGCGACCCCACCCTGACCCCATCCGGGTCCGACGCAACCGGTCCCACCGGGTGGGTCCCACCGGTCCCACCTGCTTGGTCCGGCTTTCGTCCAAAGGCGTGGGGGGAGAGAGGTTAGAAACCTGGTTTGTGGCCCCCCTAACTCGCCAGACCAGTGAACTGGTGGTTTGAAAGGGCAATTTCAGTTTGAATGACTATACTACTGACTAGTAACTTAGGACTTGTCGGACATACACGCCAATTCCAAAAGCCTATGTCATCAGGATTGATCCAACATTGGCATTTCCTCTTAAGGCCTGTGTCATCAGGCCACAACCATGATATTCATAGAAATATGTATGAGGTATTCAAGGAAGCAGCGCCCGCAAAAACACATAGTCGCACCCTATGTCACCACTGTGTCACCAGGGTGCCAGGCAGTGGTATCTAGCAATATTTAGCTGTTTTTTTACATTTTTTGTCGAGGAGGTGTCCACAGGTCCTATGACACCAGGTTTCCCAACCCAGACATTTTTTTTGCTCGATATGTCAGGGCACATGACTTAGCCCTGGGGGTAGCCAGATTGGTATGTCACTTGCATCACGTTGGCCTAAGTCATTAAACAGTAGTATATATATTACAAATTCCAATAATTGTCATCAACTCAAACACATGCTATATAGTGACAAAACTGTGAATTCATCTGAAACATGGTCTCCGAAGCAAGCCACACTGTTTTCATGACTTCGAAATGCAATGACTCTCATCAATGTGTGATCTCACACGTCGTCGTCAGGCCTCAATCTGTGGTTGCCCCACATCCGCAACGGCGAAGAGCTCTCTTCCACCCGACGTCATCTTTCGCCCGGCCATCTGGGCGCCCCCTACGCATCAAGCCCGACATCCGCAGCGGCGAGGGCTTTGGGCTTGCAAGGCCCCAGTTGTCCTTCCGCTTCGACCGCTCTTCGCCCGCTCTTTCGCCCGCTGGGCCGTGGGACCGAGTGATATCGGGTGCGTTGATCGAAGCAACGCGTCCCATCGAAAGCCGCGAGACCTTAGGTTGGACCAAATAGACCCATACTGTTACACCCAGGTTGGGAAAAAAAAAGCATGGCAGTGGGAAATGGTTTCTTGGAGCCATGTTCCGAATACAAACACCTGGTTGTCCACTTCCATGGTCACTTCGCGGGGTGCAGAATGCTTTTAAACAACTCTACACCGGGAACACAGGGAACACCGGAACGTCCATGGTGCCATCCATCTCTTAGACGTTTGAAAAAGCGTTGGCCTCCCAAAGACGCCTTCTTTCGTCCGGTAAATGGTGCGAAACAAGGAAGTCGATGCGTCAACAAGCCACCATCAAGCCACAAAGATCGTTTGGTCTGTCTCAGAACGACCTTGAAGCTGACCTTTGCTCACCAATGAGCTTGAAGCCAATACATTCAATATATGTAGCGAGCGGAAGACCATGGAACCACCCTCCCGAACATCACGCCCGCGTCCTAGGGCAGCAGCGTGCATTCCTGGCATGCAACAAGTGTGTTTGTGCGCAAACCAGCGAAAATTTGAAGTGCTTGGCCGCTACATCCGAGAGCTACTACTGTACCTGAAGAAGAGTAGGAGGAAGCAGCAAACATAACATAACATGAAGTTGCTGACTATACCGACACATATGTCCAATATAGGCAGCAACCTCTACGCATCCGATGGTTTAGTGAGCTTTGCCACCGAGTCTCGAGTCGAACGAGTCCGGCCAACCGGGATTGGTGACGCCTAGGGCCTAGGAGGATCTCCAAATTAGCAAACGCCGGGCATGCCTAAAACCATCGTCCAAATCTTGTCCCCATGTGGTTGCCATGTGGGTTGTCAAAAATCACACTTGAGATCTACACTCGCTGAAATAACCGAAGTGGATTTTCCGACCCCGTGGATGACAATGTTCACTTCCATGATTGTTTCAGGGAGTGTATGATGCCCGGATGGATATCTTTAGGATTCCCATCCATTCGCACCCCAGGGGGTAGATCCCCATGCCCCATGCCACGTCCCAACGTCCGAACCTGAGGCCATCAGTCTCCACGCGCGTGTGACGTGCAGAAGTTACACCCTCTACTGGGGCACCTGCCAGGGCCGGATCTGAAAAGCATCGTTGGAGCAAGGACGCTACGAACAGGGCTCCTGGCCGTACTACTAACTAATAACAAGAAGCTATTATTAGATGCTATTAGGGGCTCCTGGCCTTATGTTCTTTTCCAATCAATTGGTATGTTCATTCATTTTCCGAGCAGGGGCCACCTGGCCGGTCGACTGTGTCTCTATACCCCAATTCATGGTCTCAATCCACTTGACCCGAAACGAACCATGCGTGGAATTTTCCAGGCACGGGGCCACGAGCGGCATCGCGGCATCGAGTGGCACGCTGAGCGCTGCCACCGTCGAGCTCGAGGGGTGTGAGAGGAGTCAGCCCTGCCCTCGGAGCCCGTTTCACCATTTTTGAATGGGAAGGACCTGGTGTTGTAGTGGAAAATCCTTACTAAAACACATCAAAGCATCTCCGTTCGTCGTGATCGCCCCTCTTTAATGAATGGTGGGCCCCCCACTTCGCTTGGAGTTCACTTCTACACCTTTGGAAGCGAATCACTTGCGGCACACCGAAATCGCCTGAGGACACCCACCTTTCCTTCACGGACCGAATCTTGAAGAGAAGACATAAGGCAAAGAAACCGGACTTTGGCCGTTGTTCCTTTTGGGTCAACTTCCTTCGACCAGTCGAAGAGCCCGTGCGGCACTCGTGCAGCACGAGTTCGCGGCCCGTGCTCTCCCGCGCGCGTTAGCGCGCGCAAAACGCGCGCAAAACGCGCTACTTACGCTGTGGGTAACGGAGACTCTCCCCATGGTCACTACATGAAACTGGCAAAGAGGCTTTAAATCCATACCCTTCCCTTCACGTGCGCTTTTTCTACCATTTGACCAGCCTTTTGGAAAAGGAAACAGCAGAATAAGTACATCGAATGGCCCAGTCACTTCCTAACCTTTTGGTCAACAGGAAACCTGCAAGGTAGATTTTTGGTTCAACAGTTTGTTCAGATGCAGTCAGTCAACGCAGACGTTTCACCTGCGGGAAGTTTAATCCGTATGCCTTCCATCAAAAACACCACCTGTCCCGAGGTCACATGCATCTCCTGCACCCCGCAAATCCTCATCGTCCCTCGTGGAGTCGCTGTGGAGTCCCTGTGCGCTCTCATCCTTTTCCTCAAGTCAGCTCAAGACCCATGTCATCATCATCCCCTGACGGAAGAAAACGGCGAAACGGAGTCCGGGCGCAACACCCCCACAAGTCGTTCACTGCTTGCAATGCAATCGGAAGGAATATCCAAAATAACCATCATGCGACTGACAAGCACAAGCTTCATGTGAATCATTTGTGCTTTTGGGATAGTTCAAGAGCTGATCTGGTTTGAGGATCGGTCATCCTTCATGTTGGAGTCCATCATCTGCTTACATGGCGTCAAAAAGGATCCAAGTGTCCTTCTATCTTCAAAGGACCTCAGGACAGGACACAAAAACACCGAACCCGAAGAACTGCTGTTGGTCACAATACCAGGTCACAAGAACGCCTCGAGAAGACCGGTGAGCTGCCGCAGGGCGCGTAGTGCGCGCGGCGCGCAGCGCACGGCGCCGACGCACAAAAGCCACAACGAGGACCAGGACGAGAACGAAGACCTCGACACCAACAAGATGTGGTTTGAATGAAGTTGTTTTGAAACAGGATCTCTCCATATGCAGACCCTATTTGGAAGGGGAAATCGACCAACGCAGCCAAACCTCTACACCATGCAGGCTCTCAAAGGATTTAAATTACGTGGGAAGAAGCACGATGGCTGCGCCCGGGTTCGCTGCGGGGTTTCGATTCCGCTGTGAACTAGGTGCAACTCTTCAAACCATTGACAGCCTGAGTCAGAGGATTTGTTTCATGTGCGCTCTTTGGTCAAGCCTAATAAACATGCCTTCAAAGATTGACTAAACAAGGTTGGTCAGAATTTGGTATATACCAACCCACCAGCACCAACAACCACAGAATATCGCTCACCTTAATCAATAGAGCTGCACAATTAGCATGAAAAATCATGCAGCCATGCAAGTCGAATTTCCTCATCCAACCTGCCAGAGCCTTCAAGTACGAGGCACAAGGAAGATCACCTTCAAGTACGTCCGTACCGCATCGGTACCGGACGGCTTCGCCGCTTCACCTTCTCTTGGCAGTGAGCACATGGACAACAAACATGTGTAAAGTGTGTAAATACAAGAACTGCGCCAGCAAGACTCCAAACAGAAAAATATAGAAAAACATATTTGTGGGCAGCATGACACCAGCACCCACACTCTAAGTCGCACATTGCCATAAGCATCTGGCAGCAACACCCTGCACCGGCCCCCTGCAGCGGCACCAGCACACTGCCAAGCAACAGCCTGCAGCAGCACCGCGCGGCAGCACCCTGCAATGGCACCACCGCAGACACGCGCGCGCCGCCACAGACATGGCAGCAAACATACTCAAGGTAGAAAACCTCGAACTCGACAAAAGTCGGCTAAGGACTCCAGCAAACCGAGTTGCTGATCCTCACTTTTTGCTATCTGAGTCTCACCCCACCAGCCCCTCAATATGTATGAAAAGAATGAATAAATCAATACAAAGTATATCTCAGAAATTCTCCCGCCCTCACAAATCCAGAAGGTAGAGCGCAGCTCATTTCTGTTCTCCAAAATGCCTCAAACGTGCTTGATAGCCCAGTCTTTCGTCAGGCAAGGTCTCTGCAGACACCAGTGCACACGTAACAATGAAAGTCGTTTCGCTTCTGAACCTTGCGACGACACAATCGAAAGTATGAATCACGGGCGAATGCCAGAGAGAAGCCGACCGGAGTGGCCACTATCGCTATCAAAGCTCGGGAGGAAAGGTCTACGGTCAATGGACGGACATGGTCAAAAGGATTCACTGCGTGGATTCCACACAGTCACCAAAAAAGTGCATGTTCACTCACGCAAGGCTAAACGGGATAAGCCCAGCGATCACCATGGCATGTCTTTAAATGGCTCTGCACTGTCACAAGCCCTAAATTTTCTTTGTCCATCAAACCCCATGTACAACCCATGTCCATCAGACACTCTTCAGGGGAAAGTTGCATTGCAAGTGTCTGTCTTCTCCTTTATGAGGCAGGATGACCTGTTTGAAGTTGACCATCTCCAAAATGCCATGCTTACGCACCCTGCACCGTCAAGGTGCAGCGGCACCAGAACCCACCCAAGCTCCAACGAAACGGCCATACACATCTGGCAGCGGCTCCCGTGCAGCGGCACTAGCACCCAAGCTCGAAAGTGCGCACAGGCGCCTATGATTGCCCACGAGCAGCAGCAGCAGCAGCAGCAGCACCCTGCAGCAGCACCAGCACCCAAGCTCCAAAGCGCACGTGGCCACACGTCTGGCAGCGGCACCAGCACCCAGGCTGCAAGGTTAGATCGGAAACTAATTCGGTCGGATTCTGAAACTAGGTTCTGAAACTGGGGTTCTGAAACTAGGGTTCTGAAACTTGGATTCTGAAACTGGTATTCTGAAACTGGGGTTCTGAAACTAGGATATCCTAGTTTCGGAATCCTAGTTGCGGAATCTTAGTTGCGGAATCCCAGTTGCGGAATCCTAGTTGCGGAATCCAAGTTGCGGAATCCAACCAAATAGTTGCGGAATCCTAGTTGCAGAATCCTGCGCAGTTGCGGAACTCGACTTTATCCCAGGCGGGCCTGCAAAGCGCACCCAGGCACCTCTTCCTATACTTGAAGTAAGAACCTGAATGGCTTTTGCTGGGGAAAACTATGTTTAAAACTGTACAATGTAGTGGCTATAGTAGTGGCTTCTTCTTCCAGTAGCTTTCTGTGCTCCTCTTTGGGCGAACGAATGGTCCCGTTTTTTTACCCCAAGTCCCAGCTCCCAAGAGCGAGCAGCTCCCAATGAAAGAACCGCTGTTTGGTATGAAAGACCCCAAGTTCCTGAAATCCTCCTGGTTTTCGTGTGGTTTTCGTGGATGGCACCGAACTCGGTCTGAAAACTGCTCATCCGAACTTGGAAGCCGTCACTTCGATTCTTTCGTGTACACTCCCGAAAACTAACATAGACTCTGACGTCCTGGCCCCCTGGAAGATTGTTTTCCTCTACTAACCAGTGGTTTTCAGGGTCCATGTTAGTCTTCCAGGGTGTAAAGTTCCTTCAGTACAAGAATATCAGGTGAACTGAAGTGTTTGGACTGACCCATCTGTCAACAGTATTTGACAGAGTAAAACCGGAGATGGCTGGCTTGCCCTCAAAAAAGAGGACTAGAAGCTTATTCAACAATTCGTTTGATACAGTACGGAGCTTCGGCCAAACCCATTCATCCACGAGGCTATCAGGCTTCGTAGTAGTGGTTGTGCTGGATCCATCAGCGCTCTCAGTGGAAGTGGTATTGGTTGTGCCTGAGATGTTGGCAAAGCACCGGAAAGTCTGCAAAGTGTCTAAACATGCTGCATGATGCTGCTGTTTATGGAACGCCTTTGCTGCTGTACAAGAGAATATTGTTGTAATCAAAGCCAGGAACAGCGTCTGACATGCTTGCCCAAGCAAACAAAAGATTAGAAGTTTCCTCAGCAATACCCATCTTGTCTACTGGCCATCACTCAAGCCCGTTCATCCACAAGGCTATCAGGCTTCGTAGTGGTGGTTGTGCTGGATCCATCAGCGCTCTCAGTGGAAGTGGTATTGGTTGTGCCTGAGATGTTGGCAAAGCACCGGAAAGTCTGCAAAGTGTTTAAACATGCTGCATGATTCTGCTGTTTATGGAACGCCTTTGCTGCCATACAAGAGAATATTGTTGTAATCAAAGCCAGGAACTGCGTCTGACATGCTTGCCCGAGCAAACAAAAGATTAGAAGTTTCCTCAGCAATACCCATCTTGTCTACTGACCATCACTCAAGCCCTCTCATCCACGAGGCTATCAGGCTTCATAGTGGTGGTTGTGCTGGATCCATCAGCGCTCTCAGTGGAAGTGGTATTGGTTGTGCCTGAGATGTTGGCAAAGCACCGGAAAGTCTGCAAAGTGTTTAAACATGCTGCATGATGCTGCTGTTTATGGAACGCCTTTGCTGCCGTACAAGAGAATATTGTTGTAATAAAAGCCGGGAACTGCGTCTGACATGCTTGCCCGAGCAAACAAAAGATTAGAAGTGTCCTCAGCAATACATACCTTATCTACAGAATGTGTCATGCTTCGTAGTGGTGGTTGTGCTGGATCCATCAGCATGTTCAGCGGAAGTGGTGCTAGCTGTATCTGAGCATGCCAATACACGTGGAACGAAACAAGGATGCTGCTGGTGCAGTTCTTGTCCAACCAAACTGGTCACGTTCCAACATACTGGTCACAAACATTTCACAACAAACTCGGAAGTCAATGAAACTCTCAATCGTGGACCATGCCATTTCAGGCCGTTGTCGCAAGCAGAATCAATACACCCTGAGGTGGAACGGCCCTGTGGAGGGATGCTACTTGATTCTGGGAAACTGTGGCGGAACGAGACATCAATGGTTTGCTGACATACCTGTACCCATGTGTTGTAACTCAGCCCCCAAAGTAGTCATCAACATTGTCCGCCATGTCATTGCCAGAGTTGAAGTGCCCCAGGGGGGAGTCCCTGGGAAGAGAAAACTGTCTAGTCTGTCTAGTTCAAATGTACGTAAAGCCCTAGTCTCGTGTCTCATCTTTCATCTGGGATCTCTTTCTGCCACATGCCGTTGCGGCCAAGGAGCTGGAACCCGGCAGACCAGTATCCATTTCCCGATCTTCCTCAGCCTCAGCCCGTCAAAGGCCAAACGACTCCATTGCTCTTTGGCCAGTTGGCTGATCAAATTTCTGGCACAACTCACTCCCGAGAAACCAACAACTCAACTCGCTCCGCAGAGCAGACGATGACGAGACTAACATGGGACCCTGAGAATTGACTCGATCTGCAATGGCTTGGTTTTGTTGCTACAAAGCATGTCCACACCAAAAGCAATAGAAAGACCAAACAGCTCTGTGCAAGTGTTTTCACTGTCTTCAGCAGTGATATATATATATATATTGGTAGTCCAACAACAAAAGCATGAGGCACTAAGGGTTTCGAGTTGTAACTCTTTACTCTGTGCTTGGTCATTTGCTAACCAACATGCCAGCGATTCGCCTTGCTGACAAGGTTTGCTACCTCGTACTTTCAACAAAAAAACAAAGAGATATTGGTCTTTGGAAGATTTGACTTACTGTAAGTTACATCTGCCAATCTTACCCTTGCCGGCCGGAAGCAACCAATTCGTTTAGAAGCGACTGATTCGTTTGGCAGAAGCGACCAATTCTTCTGGTGAATGCATTGAGCAGATCCCCAAAGCCTCGACCGGTTCAAAGGAAGTAGAACCTGACGTTAAAACGACCTAACCACCTACACTCCGACGAACACATCACATAGAAGTGGAACACACCCCCGTGTTCACAAAGAAATGGTGTCTTCCATGCCATCCACTTCCGTGTGATGTGTGAGTCAGAGTCGTCAGAGTGTATCTCCTGTAGTACATGGCATTGCACGGCGCCCTGAGCTATACCTGCCAACGAGGCACCTCGAGATCAGCCAGCACCTTGGCATCCTCCGGCTGGATGGGAGGGATCTCCTTGAAAACCAGGTGTTTGGAAACCAAGGAAAAGAGCACCGCAGCAGAACCGGGCGTGTGTGATGAAACGATCCTTGGGAATAGACCTTTGATTCGTGGCGGGCTCAGCTAGACTTGTTGTTTGCTTGCTTGCTTGCTTGCTTGCTTGCTTGCTAGCTTGCGTGCGTGCGTGCCTGCGTGCCTGCGTGCCTGCCTGCCTGCCTGCGTGCGTGCGTGCTTGCTTGCTTGTGTTTGATTGGCAGTTGCAGTCCATCGAGGTGATTTTGTGGGGTGGAGAGTTTCAAAATTGTGCTTTAACAGCAGCAAGCATGCCCACCAATTGGTATCTGTTAAGTCTTCCAAACAGAGTTGATCTTGCGATGGGAGAAGCAAACATATTGCCCAAGTTGTGCAAAACGGAAATGGCACCATTGGCCAGATCTGTTTGTGGATGTTGGGGTGCTTACTGTAAACGGTACCTCAGCTGGTGTGCTGAAGAGGGGGCTCCAAAAAACAGCAACTATCAACTGTAGGAGCAAGGACGCTACTAGGGGCTCCTGGCGTCGCTACTAGGAACAAGAAGCTACTAGGGGCTCCTGGCCTTACTACTGGGAGCAAGGACGCTACGTGCTTTTTTAATTCAACTGTAGTACCAACTCGGCAAGTTGCGCCATTCGTTGGATGATCCAGCACGACGTCCTCCCAGAGCACCTGCACAGAACGGCCCCGGAGTGTCGAAAAAAACTGCTTTCAATGGCCTTCTGCGGCCCAGCGAAGAGTTTCGACTGCGCCTGGCCAGCATCATTTTGGAATCTGAGGATGGTCTTACTCTTGTTCACCTCCACCAGAACAAAGCCATATTCCTGACATCCATGTTGACGGGCTTCCCAAAGCGACGCGGCCCAGGGACCAGGCAGGACCAGGCAGGACCAGCACTTGTGGAATCTTGTGGGCCCGCTGTTCGTATTACTAGTAGCAAGAATGCTACCATATAGTAGCTCCTGGCATTGCTATTAGGAGCAAGAAGCTACTAATAACAAAGGGCATCGCTATTAGTAACAAAGTAATTTCATGTAATTTATCTTTACATGTTCTTTCAGCACAGTTGGATGAACAACAGTCTGGTACTGCAAAATTTGTCAAACCGCGTCACAAAATACTGAGCGGTAGAGTCACGGTTACTGGTCTGTGGACGTCTATGGTGAACTCATTTCTATCAAAATGTTACATGCGACACACTTTGCAGACCCTTTTACCAAGGCAAGGGACATCTCTTGAAGAGTATCCAATTTGTAGTCGTTTCATGTCTTTGAAGGGGCCATTGTCCATCGCAGTTTTTGTTTACATGCCGATTGAAACCTTCTCCCCCCTCGTCACGGGAGAAATCCGCTTTTTGGCCGGTGACCACTTAAATCCACTGGCACTGCACACACCAAGCGTCTGGTTTGCTGCCTTGCTGCACGGTGTAGGAGACGTGACCTCCAGCAAAAACGAGGTGGACAAGTGAGCTCTGTCAACGCCAGAATTGCATGTTCAACTATAGATCAACAAAACCCAAATGTACATACGTTTGAACTTTCCCTTACCTACCAAAAACAAGTGTTTCCAGGACGCAAAAAGGACGCAAAGGACAGGTGGCCCCATGGGTCTTACAATGCCACCAGGTCTGTCTTACAGTCTGACTGCACTCTGAATGCAGCGATCATATCCCAATCGACCATCACCGGGGTGGACGGACCAACAGCCGATGCTCTAACCTTTGCTCCATCGAGCGTTCTGAAGGCGGTGGTGGGCGGTCCAAAGAGAGATGGGCGGTGTGGGATGTCCGACGTTTGTTGGATGTTTTTGCTCCGTGGGCGGTCAACACAAGCTGGGTCGACCCGAAGTCGCCCCAACGCGATCGAGACAGGGTCAAGGCGACGCGACGGACACTCCACGCGAGGTGGTCGTGAGTCGAGGACGTCACACCTCCACCATTCCACTGGTAGCCGCCGCCAGCTCCCGACACCACGCAGTAGATGCTGCCCACGCGATCGAGTCCTTGGATTTGCTCCCAAAATCCACCTGGACAAATCTCTCCACCTCTTGCCAGCCAAAATTGACCCAGAAACAAGGAAAAATACAAAAATCCACCTCTTGCCGTTCCTTCTCCAGGAGTCTCAGCTGGTGGACATGTCCCGCGAAAATCACCGAGACGCCCTGGGAGGCCATGAGCGTCAGCATCGGGGTGCCTCAGTTCGAGTCCGGGCGATCGGACGTTGCGATCGGACGCGACTAGGCTCCGAAGGCCGTTTTGAAAGCACCGAAAGAAAAGAAACTGGTTTCTAGCCAGATGTGTTTCAACTCCCCATGATATGCCTGGCTCTAGTCTTGATCTTACCCCCAAACACAGCATAGGAGATATATATATATATGCATATGAGAGCGCCAAAACTCTGGGCACAAAACCGGTTTTCCGTACTTTGTTCATCTTTGTTCGCTCTATCGCTTTACAATGTCCTGAATGCCTCCTACATTTTTCTGCAGGCTTTCTTTTGAAAACACCACTTTTAAGTAGTTCACTACACAGCAGCCTTTCCTTCTCCCCACTCCCCCAGGATTCTGGAGCTGTAGAGCTGTACATCTCAGGCATCCTCCACAAGGGAGCTTAATATAGACGACATGGAGGCTCCACTCATCTGGACGACATGTCTATCACCTCCCTGGGTCTCTCTAAACGGCACGGCATCACTGCTCTCGTTTCAAGCAACCAAAGCAAGGAGTTTTGATGTGAATCAAACGATCGAGGCGGAGCTGTTTGGGTATCGCTTTTGGTTGTTCACTTTCACTATATCCGCTTTGCAGTGATATCTGAATGAAAATCATCTCACTGACAAACTTTGTATGGAGCTTGTGCACAGACCCTTAAAGGGATGCTTCTCATATATAGCAATCCATCATATATAGAAGGAAATCTATAAAGTCACACCCAAGTTCAAAGCTGTCACCAAATTGTTGCTGCCTGTCCAAGGGGTGCTGGTGGGTGAAAAGCGTGTTTCACACCGCAGGACTTTGGAGGTTTCGCTCCCGTGCAGATCTGTTAGATTTCGCAGGCGATTCGCCGATTTGACGTGCAGGTGACTTCCTTTGCTTTGCAACGTTGCCACGATCAACGTCTTTGTGAACCGGCTTGCCGACATGGTGCTTATACCGCCCTGACCCCCCCGTCTGTCAGAGAACATGTGACAAAATCAAGGATCACGCGCAAATGGTCCCTCATTCCTGACTCAAGTCCAGTGGAGGCTAGCAGACCGAACAACAGGCAGCAATCAATACTGTTGCGTTCTTTCCACTTCGGTTCGTGCTAGTTAGTTCAGAAGGATGTTGTTTTCTTGAATTGGCTGGGTAATCCAGAATAACTCAAAGGGGAAGGCTGCAGTGGGCAGTGGCTGGGCATCAACAAATCTGTCAGGTCCCTGAAATCGGGCGCAAGGTGCATCGCAAGGTGCATCGCTAGTAGTAACCCAGCAATCTTGTGTTGCCTTGTGTGGTGCTGCTCGCAACAAAACGGTAGCCGCTCTGTTCTTGGGTTATGCTAAGCGGGCGTATCTCGTCCTCAAATCCCATGAACCTGTCATTGTCATAGGTCAGAGCACCCAACATCTCGCAAGGGTGATGCGCCACAACCCACTTCCTTGGAGGGTGATGTGCATTGCTGGACGGGGGAAGAATGCTGGATTCTTTCAAGCCCTCTGGGCTTTTTCATGTAACATAATGTAACTAATGGGTGGTGAGTGAGCAACATATTGCTCTTCTGTTCTGACCGGCCGCAGCGAGCTGAATTTGTTTCTGTAACCGTGGTTGAGAAGAGCCTAGAAGGGCATGGTTGCTACACCCCTGATTCCCTTTGGTCAGAACCTCAACGTACCGATTTTGGAAGAATTAACCAGACTCTCTGGAACTTGAATGCCATGAACCCGGACTGCACTGATCACAATCTCTGATGACTGCGCCCCACGTTTCGACTTTTGGGGGTGCAGCAGTGGTCCAGTCTACAGCAGTAGAACACGCATCCCATCCAATACATGTCGTTTTCGCTTGTAAGAAGCAGCCAACCAAGGTTGATGTGTTCAGCAGAACCCCCGGGCAGCCCCAAACCAACCATTACCGGCTCATCTCACTCAACCCTGGGCTGCCCGCCATCGAACCAATGGTAACCAATCCATCCAAGCAAGCAATGATACAAGACTGTTCAATCCAAAAATTGCACCCCAAAGCAACCGAAGAAGCTGAAGCATTGAGCTAAGATGCCAGGTAGCTTGACTTTTTGGGAGCTCCTCTTGGAGCCACGACAGCTGTCGCTGCCAGAGTTCCGCATGGAAGCGCTCGCACTGCGCAGTGTTGCCTGATGCACGTGGACAACGCAAAGACCGCCTTCGCAGAGGACGACAGAGTCGGAGAAAAAGAAAATAGGGATCCGAAACGTTTTTTATCCGACCATGATTCTTAGGGAACCAAGAAATGTCCTGACTTGATACGGATCCAAAATGGATCCAAAATGGGCGCCGTGAAGAACTCCCCGGTGAATCGCGGGTCAATGTCTCTGCTTTGAGGGACCGAGTCTTCCAAACATCTGCTTCTCAGGGCAAAGGTCTTTGTTTATCATAGGCCATCTGACATGGACAGAGTCAAGCTCATACTACCTGGGGCATGCAACCGCCATGTGAAGCATAGCTCCTCAAAGCCGATGCTCCTATTGTTTGGGCTGAAACTATGAGCAAAAATGAGTTTGCTCCTTCGCCCTGCCTCAGGTGGACAACAACCGTGGGGTTCCCCTGTTCCATGGGCTTCAGGATTGGAATTAGACCGCATCCGATCCTAGACCGCATTCCCTCATCATGGGAATATGTCACCTATCATGAGAGTTCTCACACCTGCTTTTCGACTCCTGGTGAGACAACCTCGGGTTTTTTGAGAAAGAGCCAGGCCCCCAGGAAGTCTGGACCAAGACCAACATGTGGATGGATGTCAGGGCTTGCCCAGCTCCCCAGCTCCAGGAGATTCCAAGGTAGCAAAAAGCGTGCGCTCTGGGTAGCCAAAAGCTTGCAAATCGTTGGAGAAGTAAGAACTTCGAGCTATCTGCAGGGGAAAAAGGTTCACGATCTTGAAAAAGAATAACTTGGCATCAGTAGGTGGAATCAAGACCCCTACATCCATGGGTGCCAAACATCACCCCCGATGTCCTCGTCGTATGCAGTCGACTTGATCCACGTGTCCTTTCTTGCCGTCCCCCAGCAAGTCCCCAGCGCGAGCTGCATGTCTTCTCAAGCGTGATCATCGCTTGTCCATGGCACAGGGAGTGTGAATTCTTCCCGTTGGAGTCAATGGCAAACACATCGATGCTAAAGTCCTGCAGAGTCGATGCGAAAGGACCCCAGTTGTGCCAAGCGGTGAAAGAAACAAAGAAGCCAAACACCACTCGATACGACCGGAAGGCTTTGACAAGCCAACGAAAACCGTGAAGGCTGAAGGGTGTACCCACACAAAGAAAGTTTGTGTCTCTGTGTCTGAAGACAAGAACGCTCCTCATATTGGAAAGACTTCTTATAGAACCGGTCGGGCATGACCCAGCGTTTCCTGGCAGGCCAACCCAACTGCAAATAACATGTTGTTCAATTGGAATGACAGAACTTCATAGAAAACCTGCTTTTGCAGGAACTATCAGAACATATAGCTGAAGTAAACAGAATGAGAAACTTCACCGCCAGTGGGTCTCAAGAGTCCTAGGCACGAGGGGTTGGGGGAACAAGAGATGATGGTGTCTGGCGTCGGCTTCGCCAATTGAAACAGTGCACCTGCACTCTGGGTATGTTGTTTCTATAGGTGTACAATCAGTGCAGCACCTGCCAAGTGCAGCCCAGTGCTGAAGTTGATTCGTTTCTTGTTTCAGCTTTCTCAACCCGGCCCGCCTCTTTGGAGCCTGAGTTGCACAACGAGCCAACCATGGTGCTGTTCGCCCGGGTGTAGTTCATTTATCACAGCGAAATCGTGCTCACCTTCATGCTCACCTCGCCTTTGGCCGCGAAACTCACTCGTTGGACTTAAGACCTTTGCAACGATGTTCAAATCATATGTGATCATATGTGTACCAGTTGCCCCAATAAGACCCCTGTTTTGATAGGAAATGATATTCAGGTTCTAGGTGTGTAGATGAATATGTGTATGTGTAAATATATATATATATATCTTATGTATACACACACTTGGACGAAACACATCGCATGGAAGTGGAAACCGCCCTGTTTGTAAAGGAAAGTAATTAGTCATCCAAGGGTCGATGTTCCACTTATCATGTGATGTGTTCGTCGGGTAGGATGTAGAATCTACTATTACGCATCTACACACGTGTTTTCTTTGTAAAGCGATCTGGCGTCATCTGCTTCACAATGTCCCCAGAGGCCCCCCGCCGGGAACTCCCACGTCTTCTCGTCGTCGTAGCCGATCTGCGCTCCGCTACACCCGCCCGTGCCACCCTCAAAGAGGCAGCTGTCGCACTCGTGACCACCGTAGTCGTGGTTGCCCAAGACCTGAAGGGGAAAAGCATCCCTCGACTGCTCGTCCTTTGTGTCCACGGTTGAAAATGGGGGATGTGAATGCAATTATTTTCATGTGTTCTCCTCTCTCCCATCCGGACAATACAGCAACCAAAGTTTGGGGTGTCGAGTTTGTACAAATGAGCTTCAGATTTGAATGCCGTGAAGAGCTTGAACCACTCCAATGGGCTTCAGACGCCCATACCAAGGATCTTCACCTGCACAATCCTTTTTCTGGCTTCAAGGAAAAAAGGACGTTCGTCCATCGGCAGCACCTTCGTGACACCCTCCTTCTGTGACACCGAACCCTCCTTTCGGCGTTTGACTGGCGTGGACCGGGCGGGACCGGCGGCCGTCTCCAGGAAGAAGCGGAGCCACGTGGCCGTACGCATGAGTTGGTCCGTATGCCGTACGCAATGGCGCCACAAAGAATCCGCAGTGTCGAAATAAGACTGGGTGGTGAGTTTGGCGATGTGCCTGTGTGTTGTGTGTGTGTGCCACCTGTGTTTGGGCCTCACTACGTATAGCTGTATAGCTGTATGATGTGTGCAGGACAGCGGGGCACTCAGTTGAAGAGTAACCAGGGCTCAGGTTGTACCCAATTGAAGAGTAAGCTCATGGCCGTGAAGTCCATGTCAGGACCCATCGCTCCATGTCATCCCCCTCCTTCGATCCCTCAACCCGAGTCGCGACACCCCAAAACGCTGAGCCTCGGGCAGCAAGCCAGGGGACGTGCAGGGATTCGTTTTGATAGACCTCCTCGAACCTGGGCGAACTGGACACATGATCCAACCTGTTTCAGGAGCTTTCGGGAAGATTGGGAGTTGGGTCACTTGGAGCCTGATTGATCTTGACAAAAAATGAAAGGAAGATAATGTGAAGATAAGCTTCCTGTATATAATGTAAAGTAAAGTAAAAAGTAATGTATATAATGTAATGTGATGGGATGGGATGGTATGGTATGGTATGTACGTATGTATGTATGGCCCATTTGGCCAAATTCCCTGTGAATGGTTTTGAGACCCGGCATACTTGGTGGACAAGACTCTGGTCATGCTGGTGCCGCTGAACGTGACCGACCCTGTCTGCCTTCCGGTAGGCAGAGACCCATCTCCTCAAACGCACCTCCCACCCATCTCTGACAACACATGTTGAAAAGCTACGCTGCTACGTGTTGGAGAACCTTTCCGAAGGATTGATGATCAATCCAACAACAACACTATGTCACTTTGATGGAAACCCCACACTATGTAGTGCCACCCATCCAACAACACGTTGGCAATATGTCCTTTTGTTTCCTAGCTTTCAGGCCCACCCTCCTCATCTTCAAACCTTTTTCACAGCAATTTCCGTAACATCTGCCCGAGAGATCATTTTCCAGAAAGAAATCATATGTAGCGCCCTACAGCAAACGAGCTGATGTCCAATAATTGCAGTAACTATACCATCATCTGCAGCAGAACGCCACCAAATGTGCTGGCAGCACCTCAAAAGAATTGAAGATTAGCTTCTCAGCAGTTGTCCATGCGCCTATCATCACCTATCTCACCCGCCCTCTGTAACTATTCAGACTTGGTCTTCCCACTACCTTGCCACGTTTATTCTAAGGCGAGTTGGCCACAGCAATCCCATCAACCCACCCATCTGTTCCATGCTGCCATGGCTCATGTTCCGCCAGTTCAGGTCTACATCATCCATGACTCCTCGTAGATAGAAGTTGTCACCAGTGGAGATCACAAAATCTAAACTCACTCGCTCAGCCACTCGGCCCATTTCACTGGCCACGGAAGACCTGGGTGGTCTTCAAGTCACGCTTCGGGCATCGCCAACATGCCGTTTGCCGCGAAAGAGCACGGTTCTTCTTGTTCTTGTTGTTGTTGTTGTTGTTGTTGTTGTTGTTGTTGTTGGTAGAGACAAAAACAGCCGCCCAACATAGTTGTCACATGTTGCAAGTCAGGGATTTCAATGGGATTCTGTTAGGGATAGGGTCGAGGGTTTGGAGAGATGTTAGTAGCTGGACTTCTTGTCGTTGTGGTACTCAAGTCTTGGTTGGTCTGCTTCTTGTTTTTTGTTGTGTTGTTTTGGGGGGGGGGGTCAAAAAACAACAACGGGGTTGCAGATTTTGTTTCTAGGGGGGGGTAGAGACAACAACATCTTTTGGAAGGGGGGGGTCCAAAAAACAACCACGGGGTTGCAGTTTTTGTTTCTAGGATGTGGTAGAGGTTCTAAGTAGAAGTTTTACAGGGTTTACTTAACCAGTTACAATAAGCATCAGTAGCATGACCCTCAGAGGAGTTTCATAGACCCTAAGAAGGCGTCTAAATCGACCATATTGTTCCATTGGAATCCAAAAACTTCCAGGAGTCTCCAAGAAAAGACTGATTTTCAGTGCATAGATTGAGAACCGAGTTTCCACCCCCTCCGCCTCCGCACACGCCCCGCGCACTGTCCACACGTCCCGGGGTGGGGGGGTGTCTACCACTAGTAGTAGTAGCACTAGTACCACTAGTAGTAGTAGCAGTAAAGTGCTTGTTGTCCGGTTGTTTTGGGGGGGTCAAAAAACAACGACGGGGTTGCAGAATTTGTTTCTACCCCCTTGTAGAGAAAAAGAAAGAAGATGTGGTGTAACGGGGTTGCAGTTTTTGTTTGTACCTTGTTGTTGTTGTTGTTGTTGTTGCTGTTGTTGTTGTTGTTGTTGTTGTTGTTGTTTTCTTGGGACCCAAACGAATGGCTCGACTCGACTTTTAAAAGCTGATCAGTGAAAGAGTCCCATAGCAAATCCAAAGAAAAGCAATTTGCCACCAGGCTCAATTGGGGGTTCCCCAGGCTTTGCAAACCATTGGGTCAAGGTAGGAAAGCAACCGAAACGACAATAAAACCTCAAGGTGTCTCTCGTTGGAAGCTAATGAAGTTAAAGCTGAGAGTAGCATAGCATACGCCTTCGGAGCTGCGTTTCATGTTCCAGGAGACATGTGTGTTCAGAAAGAGTCTCAAACGGGCGCGTGGTCAGAGCCATCGGGACATTTACACCAGAGCCATCGGTAGATCCCTTTCAGAAGATGTTTGATGATCTGATGGAAGAAAAAAAAGCGCGTGTCCTGTAGGAGACATCTATCGAAACCATTTAAAACTTATCTTGGCTTGGGATAGTCTAAGTGATTATTACACTCGGTCATGATACAACCAGGGCCAAGATGTGTTCAGCATAGCTTGAAAAAAAAGGGGCCTGGCCAATGGACCGCTGTGACCATCAAGAATTCCGCATGGCCTTTCTGGAAGCATACTTCCCCTGGTTCTGAGAGTGACACCGATACAAATCTGTATCGATCTGTGTGCCACGAAGAATGGCCAAGGAAGACTTCAAGGCAGGCATGTTCGACAGCAGTCCATTGATGCCTTCGATGAGGCTTCTAACTCGAGGCACATCTAGCGAAGATGCCAGTCTGCTGCCCAGATGCTGTGCAAAGCTATCCTTCCACCATGCCCAACTGCTTGGGTCACATTGCTTCCTCGGCTCAGCCCACCGAGCTTTGCCCAATCTTTCACCGCTCCCCTCAACCAACCGTGGATGTGTTGGCGCTTTTTGTGGGCGGCTTACTGGTAGGCCCATACTGTAGACTCTTAATCCATCAAAACCGAGTGAGGAGCGGGGAGTTGTGGAAATGCTTATCAATCGATTCTCCTTGCTGACCCATCCTGGTGACCGATACCAATTTGGATTGTACTGAGACATGGTGCTTGGCCGGTTCTGTTTTGAATGATCACGGGCACGGGGGCCATCACCGAATACAGATCTTCGATGAAAAGAGGAAGAACTTGCTCATCCCAAATGCCAAGGAGGATAATGAAAGCCCTGACCAGATATTCTCCAACTTCGTCACTTTGCCATGCGGTGCCATCTCCTTCTCCCCTTCTGAGTGTTGCGGAGCAGTTTAACATCAGCCTGAACCACTTGGGCCGGCGGGCCTACCTGACTCCTTTTGCAAAGAACCGCCGCTAGAGGTTCAGTTGGCCCAAGTTGAATTGTCACTATACCGTTTCGTGAGCGACTTGAAAGCCGCTGATCATGAACTGGAGTTGTAAGTGTAAACCTGCTCAAGACCATTCCTTTCGCGGAGATGGCGGACGAAATCTCTTGTAATACCAGGTACTACAAGCCGACCTTGTTGCTGGGATGCGTTTCTTGGTTCCTGGTCATGGGGATGAACACCTTGTCACATCTCCCCTTGGAAAAGAGATGTGAAAAACCTTCGACAGAGAGGTGAGACAGGTTGAACCCTTTGAGTTCGCTGAGTTTCGTGCCCCAGAGGCCTGGCTGAAAAGTGCAAAGGTGATGAAGAGATCCACATCGAAGAAAGCCTGAGCCAAGCGAACTGAGGAACGTCGGGTCGGTGACCAGGTCAAAGCTGAACCGTTCAAAACAGGCACGAAACACTAAAATGCCATGTAATGGCTTGGTTTGAAACACCAGAGAAAAAGTCCTGCAAGAAAAAGGAACAAATGCTCTTTGTTTTATGATATCAATCCTCCCTTCCCATGTGAACATGAAACATCCTTTGGTGTAAAGAAGTTCATCGTCATTGGTTTTTTTCAGAGGTGACATTCTCCCACCCCAGAAAAAGGGTGGCATCGCCGGAGATTTTTCCCTGCAGAAACTGCAGAAACAACATCGATGGACCCGAGCAAGTTGTCGGTCAGTGAACGCCAAGCTGGGTGAAAGAGCCGTCTTGACCATCTGGTGGTCCCAATCTGTAAGAGGTGGACTGTAGATTTCTTCCCGCCACAAAGACCTAACGATGAATCTTGACAATCCAAACCCCAAACTGTTTTGAAGAGAACCACCCGCTTCTTGAGGCGCGCGAAGATGTATATGTGGGCCTGGTTTCTGGTAGATCTGCTTCCAATCAGTTCCTCTCCTTCTTTCTTGGATGATGTACTTCACGCAGGTTGACATGTGCTGCTCCCAGGTCCTCAGTTCGCAGCAGCCAGCAGCGATTGGTCGGTTGCCCGAGACTCCTAGTTGTAGTGCCAGGAGCTACTAGTACCTCTAGCTGTAACTAATTCCTCAAAGCTTACACTCAAATCACCGGCAGCCAAAGGATTCGTGGCACTCCAAGTAGTGCCTGATCTCCCGAACACCATCAAGCAGTCTTGTGATATTGGAACACCAGGTTTGGGAGAATCGCACTGTAGAGCCCTTGTTTCAGCAAGAAACTGACTCCTTTTTCGGACTAGAACTCCTCTCTCTGCCTCTTAGAGCTTTCAAGACGCTCCAAACGTTGCCCTAGCCTTTGCAAGCGGAAAAGGCGACTTTTTTCGCTCGCGCGCGCTCGCGCTGGCGCTCTCGCGCTCGCGGTGTTCTGCCGCAGCACTCGTGTGGACAGGTGGTGGCACCCCAGTCTCCCACTGCGATGACAAACGCCGATCTCCTGCCGGATCGCCACCGGATGGACGACCAAAGCGACCCGTTCCTGAGTCCTTAGGATTTTGGTGATCACAACGATCCTCAAAAAATGGACACTCGTATAGACTCATGAAAACACGGAAGTGGAAGGCAAGGGCCTCTGGAAGGCTGCTGTCCTCTACAAAACAGGCTGTTTGTCCACTTCCATCTTAGTGAGTCGGAGTGTATGTTTGGTGATACATCGCAGAAAGTGTTCCATTCGCCAACAGGTACCGCTCAGCCAATTTCTAACCCCTGTGCTCCCGAGTCGATGGCACATTCCGCCTGAAAAGTGTTCCCAAAGTTAGGAGACAAAGCTGCTGGGCCGTTGTAGTCTTCCAGAATCAGTCTTGTCCCGGCACGATTTGCGTCACTAGACTGATTGCTATGACGGCTATGATGGACTATCATGGCTATTACTTACAAGGCAGCGTTGGATTGTTTCGCGCCGCACTTCTCGCTGTTCCTCTCTACGCTGCTTATAGCATTCTTGGTAGCTGGTATGATGCAGTTTATCGGGTACGACACTTGCTTCTGAACACACTTCCAGTGACAAGTTGCTGTCGGGATTGCTCCTGGTGTTATGCGTTACAGTCGTCTATGAAGTTGTGCCATCTTCGGGGAAACAACCCTACCCTACCCTAGATTTGATGGTCCAGGGAAAAGAACACCTGGCACCATGCAGGCTTGATGGAACGTCCATCCGCTCCGCATGCTGCGGGACCTGGTTTTCACTCGCGGCCCAAAAGAGTCAACTCCCTCGCTGAAACAGCGACTCCGCTTGCCAAAGACGACTGGGAGGACAAATCTGCTCTGGTTTGGCTTATGTTCCAGAAGGGTCAGGCATTCTTGATACACAGGTATCTCTTCACAGCTTAACAGAATGAGAAAAACTATCCCATAACGAGTGAAAACGTAGAGGGACACCTGTAGGATCACCGTATTGAAAGAAAAAGGAGGGGAATCAAAAGGCGTTTTGAGATGTCTTGATGTGAAAACTTGCTTTTAGCTGGAACCAAACCAGAAGCTACTAGGGGCTCCTGGCATCGCTACTAGGAGCAAGGACGCTACAGGGGCTCCTGGCCTTTCTACTAGGAGCAAGAAGCTACTAGGAGCAAAGGGCATCAATACTAGTAACAAGTTCTTCGTGATCACCACTTTCACCTCCATCTCCCCTCCTTGAGGCATCCCCGCTCCGTGCTGGCCGCCAGTCGGACGCCTGCGTCTTCCTAATGCGGCGCCTAGGTCGGCGCTTAGGTCGGCAGTCAGTTGCAACAAAAGGGCTCTCACTCAACTTGAGGCGGTTGCTTGAACCCTTGGTGCCTGTCTTGTAAAGTCTCCGAACTTGCGAGATCTGCTTCTGCAGAGACTTGCTTTTTCAGCAAGTCTTGGAACATGGGCAAAGGCTTAAGTCCAAGTTTTGATCAATTCAGCTTCACGTCCACCGGGCAGAAATTCCCGAAGTTGAGCCCCGAAGCAAGTGGTCGAAGCAAGCTGAAGTGGAGGCCATCGCTTCTGGGTTGGAGAGTCCAGTCAGTCATGAAGCAAGTCCCAGACGTTCGCAAAACAACGAGAGTTCCCAGTCGCCCTGCTCCACAGTAGAACTTCTTCGGGTAGTTCCAAGGTGGCTCCATGGTCAAGGGATCGAAGTCTTCCTCCTGGATCTCCAGACCCGCATGGGTCTCGGGACGAAGAGGTGGGACGCGGGACGAGAACGATCTGAGCATCGTCGAAGGGCATTCATCTCTACTAAGAGAAGAAGCCTGAGCCAAGTGAGCCGATTCGGAAATCAGAAACGACCAGATTAGGGGGTTGACTTCCGGACCATCGACCGTCCGATGACCGATGAGCTGCCAAACCTCTCATGGATTCAGCAACTCCATCGTCGCTGGGCGACAGGATGGACAGGTTTCAAATGGTTTCAACATGACAGTTCCGCAGACCCAACAGTACGACCACGACTCGGCTCCTCACTTCCCAAAGAGCAAATGCAAATCCGGACACGAATGGTTATGCAGGTGACTGAAAAGAAACACAAATCAAGAATTTTCGGGGCGTCTTGGCTGCTCTGGAGAAGACTTAGCACGCAACTTGATTCCCTCCAAACCAGTTGATGGGCCATACCTCCCCATACCTCGCTGTTGGGCTCCGCCTCTGCTCTTGGCTCCTCTCGATCCAGTCGGCGATCTCTTTCCATTCGGCTCGCAGCAGCCTGTCGGCGCGAAGGACCGACGTACCCAAATCGGCTGGGACCGACGAAGTACGGCCACGAAGCTATTTTTCTTTATAAGGGGGGTGTGGTTGGCCACCACACCATGATCTCTTTCGTCGACATGTTCCGCATCGTCGAATCCAATTTGTGCTGGGCAACTGGACAAATGTCGTCCAAACAAATCCGAAACCTTGCGACACGAGGGATGCGCCATAAGATGTGGGAAGATGTGTGTTTGGTGTGTTTGTCCCACAGGGTCGAAGGTCTTGATGGCAAACTCAAGAAACCAACTTCTTTGGCTAACTGAAGGCAACTTCATCGTGAACATTCCCCTAGCTGGTTCTCAAATCCCTCTTTTGAGTGGACTTGGCAGACCCGGGCACAAACCAGCAAGGCTGGCTCTGAAGATCAGCTCAGATTCCCAAAAGGGCTCTAAAACTCCAATCATGCTGTCATGCGCAGGGTCTCTCAAAGAGCACTATAAGTTTAGAATAGTTTAGACTGTAAGTACGCCTTATCATTAATTGGACACAATGATCTTTGACTAGTTGAAATCGCTGCAGATAATTTGTAAATTGAATAATATTGAATAATTAGTGTTAATCTTCTTTGCGGGGCAGTATTCCTGTGCCAGAGCTCAGCTTTTTTCATGCTAGCCGTTACGAGCCTGTGCCAGACCAAATCCGATCCACCTCAGCAAGCCCCAACCTCAGAGGAGCTGATGGCCCTGCACCACCTGGATGGCTGTTTGTCCTCCAAAATACCTAAGAGCAGGACATTGGCCATCCGAGAGTCGAACTCCCATTCCCCGTGCCGTCCGATGTGCTGCGGCCTGCTTCTTTGGGCTGCTTGAGCGGCCGCCACCCGGCAGTCTCTGCAGGCTACAGTTGGCCGTGCCCGCCACGCAATGGTCGGATAAGAGCTGGGCTAAGTAGTAGTCCACCTGGACCCAGTGCTCAGGAGGAATGATGCCTCTTGGTGCCAAAGGCCAAATGGGTTGGACTTGCCGACTAAAATGGCAACTTGCTTTCAAGCTCTGTTTCCATCACCAATTGTTCAGCTTCTGTTTCCATCAGCCTCGGCTGGCTTGCTCTTCCCACTTACTCCCAATTTCACTCCGGCCACTTCTGAACACAGATCTTCCATCATTTTCAGACTTCCACCCTGCGGCATGGGTTGAACAGGAATGCAATTAACAGTGATGGAGGAGGAAAAGTCATTGATTCTTTGTGGAACTCCTTCGTGCCACAGACACTCTCTGCTTTCTTCCGACCAAGAAAACGACGCCATGTCTCTCTCGACCGGTCGAAGCGTTCCGTCGGTGCCCACACGACGAAGCACATCGACACGACACCATCAAATCACCCTGCTCCGACACTGGTAGTGGAAGCCACGGCCTTTGACCGTCAAGAGATCCCATGTTTTGAATTATCCCCATGGCTTTTTCGATGCATTTGGACCCAGCCCCCCGCGGCACTGGTCGTGGATGTTAGGCCGAGGGAGTCGGTCGAAGAGTCGGTCGGTTGACGGTTTGCTTTCAACACCGAGACGTTCTATGTCCAGGCTTCGAGAACTTCGATGCCCCTTTTGATGCGACCTGCCGTGCTTTCCGGCCAGGCGCGTCTCAAAAGAGCTTCGGTTTTCCCTGTCCGAAGCGGTCCGGTTCTCCCCCAAAAAGAACCCGGTGCCGGTGCGCACGATGTCCAGCCTCGCCCGCCGTTCCGAAGAAGCTCCCGCTCGCCAGGCAGGTCCAAAGCACATGAGCGGCAAGGGAGCGCCATGACATGGTAGCTGTGATGGCGTGAGAGTGACGTTGCATGGATGCATCTATCTGTCACATCGGGGAATGTCCCCCCTCCAGGTTGGCAGATATATGATATATGGCAGGAAACATACCCAAAAAAATTGAGGCCCAAAAAAGCAATAAGCCAATTTGTTGGATCGCACCTTTGAATTCTGGGTGGGCCTTAGAACTGCAGGTACAATACCAGGACCCCGAAGGGATGGTTAATGGACACCCCTTAGCAGCTAAGGGGCTCTAAATACACACCCCTTGGAGGGTCCTGGTAGAGACCCTAGGCTTTTGCAAAGACTTTGCTATCCGTTTGAGTCAGCACGTGTTCATGGTATCGTATCTGCTTCAGAATGATAACTAGAAATCACAGTAGTACCAGGCTACTGGAGGACTTTGACGTATCAACTATCGCAGTCACGGTCGCAAGAACATGCAACAAAATCAAAACAGGTTGTGCTAGTGGGGATTGCAGAGTAGAAAATATCTATTCTTTGTACCTTTGGAAGGAATTACGGGCCGCGGCCAACTTGTCAAGAAAGGTGCGAGATGTAAGTTCCTCAGGAATCAAAGCTCTGCGTTTTCTGATTGTCTTTCACAAACAATGACAGTGCAGATTTCTATCCAATGAAGGTCACAATTTCTGTCATTCAATTCCAAGATCTCTTGATGACAATAAACAGCTTGCGATCAGCTAAATCCTCTGCAACCACGACTGCAGATCGCCAAACGTCGTAAGTTAGCTGATGTATACAGTGAGTACAGTTAGCGACATGGAAACGGACAAGTTCGAACCAGGTGCCCCCTTGAGGGCCCCCTTTCGCTTCAACCAAAGACCACCACGGTCACCACCGAGTCGTCTTCTTCGCTGAAAAACGATCCGGAACCTCGGACCGATCCGCACCCCCGACGCGGCCTGGAGGGGCCCACGCCGCAGGCGTGCCGGTGGCAACCGACCCGGGACCCGCGGATCAAGGAGCCCGGAGCGGAAAGCGAGGCGGACGCGTGGGGCGAAGCGCGCGACAGGCGGGTGTGGCGTGGCTGAAGCAGGTGTTACCAATGGGGTCAACATGTTCTGAACACCTATTTATTGGGCTAAACCCTGGCTCAAGTAAAACTCTGACTGAAGATCTGCCGCCGAACTGCCGAGCCATCAGGGTTGACTTGCCCCGGAAACGGTGATCTCCAAAGCATCCAAAACATCTGGCGGTTTGATGCCGAAAAAGGCACATCTCGAGTTGGCACCCATACCTATGCCGCCTGCTTTCATGATGGTCAACCCTGGTTGGTTCGGAACCATTCACACGTATTATGGGACCACCCACATGTGATTCAGGCAGAACCCGAACCCGAACTCGAACCCGTTCGCCGCCGGTGCTGCGAACTCGTCAACGCTCGCGTCTCCTGCGCGCCATGGGCGACCTCAGGTGGGTCGTCCGGCGAATGGTCGGATGGTGCGGTGTCTTGAGTAAGTCGTCTGAAAAAACCCTGTAAACGCTGGTCTTTGATGAAAAGACACGTCAGGGGGATATTCTCCGGTCTGAGGTGGCCATCGGGAAGGATAGATTCTCATCCTGGGACAGATCTTCGATCTATCTTCGATCTCACACTGCAACACAAAGCGAAGCAAGTGGAAGCAAAGTCTGTGAGCTCCAGAAAGGGTGACAAACCTTCTTGAGGAGCGGCTCTGCGGCCTCCCCAAGTGTGGTCCGGCAACACTGGGCTCACATGAGCTTACATGGACAGAGAAAGCCAAAGAGCCTTCCTCACGACCGAGGAAAGCTGTCATTCTCGGGGTTGAGGCACGGGAACAACAACGAGTTCAACGAGTCGTTCACGTATTTCTATCCCTCGTTGGTGTGGTCATTTCTGCAGAAGTTCCTGATAGTTCCTTTTCTCCATTCGCTACTAGGAACAAGTGCATCGCTTCTAGTAACAAGTGCCTTACTAGTAGTAACAAGAAGCTACTAGAAACAAGTGCCTTACTAACACCACCGGACGGATCCCATGCACGGCAGGTCTTGCCGGAAACACCCAAGTCCTCGTCCAGAGCGGGAAGGAAGGCACGGCCGGTTGACGGGGAAGTAGTATCGGGTTCACTTTGCCAACGCACGCACCTGTTTGGTAGGTAAAGATCGCCCTAGAAGTCCAAAGACTATATTTTGACCGGCTGAAGTAAAGGAAGTTCCCTTTCAGGTCCCCTAGTCAGACCATTCTTTTTATAGTCTTTGACTCCCAGGGATCCTTCTGGTGTATCCCACTTTCTGTTCCTAGACCCCACGCGCAGTTTGTATCGAGGCTCAAGGGGCAGGTGCCAAACCTTCTTTTTTGTATCGCAAAACTGAGGAATTCATCTGTATCTCGCATGGGCAGGGGGTCCTCGAGCAGATGGGTGAACGATGGACCATCCCCTCCGAGGTCCCCACAGATGGCGACCGTCGCCGCTCGGAGCTTAACGTAGAGGACCGGTGAAGACTTAATGGGAGCACGGGCCGTGTCTTCTGGCGTGTTTCTCAGGGTTCTGAAACGGGAGGACCCAAACGCGTTGCAAAAACCACCCGGCTTACTTAAGTTATATAGATCACCATTTGAGAGTGTGGCCTGCTTTGACATGGCTTTTGGTTCTCGGTTTGATATTCACGAAACTGATTCGAGCCTTCATCCACGTAGGAATACCGAAGAGGGCCGCGTAGAGACGACCTGTTCTGCATCACTGCATCCTCCTTGAGCCTTCTTGGCAGCACAGCCAGCACAGTACAGCCAGCTTCGGTGCTTCTCGCGCCGAAGGGCGGCGGAAAAAAAGAACGAAAAGCACGAGGCGGCTTGGGGACATGTTGGAACCTTGGAATCAAGGGGTTAGAGTCCTTGCAGATTGGGACCGCCAGTTGCACCAGATTTGAAGATCACTTCTTCTTGATCGTCATCGCTCACAGTGTGAAGCCACAGTCTTGGAAACACTGGCTCTTCGAAGATTCCCCACTTTGCGGCCATGAGGGCTGACTGTTTCACAGAACGTGAAAAGATCGGGCTGAAGTTCTATGGTTTGGTTGACACGGACCAAGGGCAGGCCAAATGTCTACAAAGATCTGATCCGCTCCTCATGTTGGTAGACATGAAAAAGCCTAGGTCTGTCAGCAAAGTTATTCAAAAAGGAGTCAGCATTTGCCTCTGGTGCGTCTAGCCTTTGTCGCTTCTGCAGCCTCATCGCCACTCATCGCCCCAAGAAAGAACGGGCCAGGAATTCAGTTATATAACATCATATGCCAAAAAAGAATAGAGGTTATAGGCAGAGTATCCTACTAATCTGAGCCATTTAGATTGTACGTGTTTGCGACAGGTTTGTATCCCCTTCTCTTAAAGCCAGCCTTGACGAGGTTGTTTGTTAACATTTTTGTGGGCAGATTGCCCAAAAAGACTGATACATACTGCTGATACATATGGAAATTGCTTAATTGGTTTGCTTGTCGACACCTGTCCAATGAGTTCCCCTCATCACCTCATAGATTCAAATTAGTGAAAGAAAGCGTCACCATGTCCAGGACAACAAATGACAAGGTCCACTTTGTGCAACTCTTACCATACCCAGTGGATCCCAGGCAAACCACTATGCAAGGAATCAGGGTGTCTAGGTCTACGGTGTGAGTACGGTGTGAGTCTGTGGAACCACTGGTTACCAGCGACATCATCGTGGTTTGCCTGGATGCCCTGCGTCAGTCATAGATCTCACAAAGCGCACCTTGCGAAACTTCCGCCAACGACGGAAGACGCCACCACGCGACCACAGCGACCAGCTGCTGACAGCCCCACACTGCTGACAGCCCGTCCGCACTCTCCCGCGCAGAAACGCAGATCGCGCGGAAAGGCCCGGGTTGGCCCTCCTGAAGCTCCTGTGCCTTCCGCTGCTCATCCGCATGAGCCTGGAGATGTTCTTCTGTCAATGCGGAGAATGGACGACAGCTGAAAGCTCCATCTGCGGCTCGGTTTGGTTGCTTGATCTGGATGCACCCAAAGGATGGTATTTCAGGATAGAAGATGATAAAAACATATAAAAACATACATATATACTGTCAACCGTTGGTTCAGAAAAAGGAATCCGACCCTCGGATGGATGACAGAAATTTCTTCACACATGTCACATAACATTTGGGTTCGAACTTATCTGCCATCGAACTCTTCCCCACAAACGACCTCCACGGACACTCTACGGACCATCTTGACCGCAAGTTTAGCTGTCCTGGGTGAGCCGCTGCAGCTCGACCTCAAGCGCCGGATGAACGAAGAAGATCCAAAGACTGACAGATGCGGGTGAATTGGATATACTGTCAATGTAAATACCATCAAGAATCCGTCGACGGCTTGAGAAACAGACCATCTACAGGCATGGTTATGGCATGTTGTGGGCAAGTCCACAAAACCGTCCACCTTTTCTTCACAGATTCTGGACTCCTATTTGAGACCACCCGCTGCACCAGCAACCCACCCGCGGAAAACATAGCCGTCCCACCTGCAGTTGATTGATGCGGGCATTGCGCGCCTGTCGTCGGGCCCAAGCGTCTTCAAGTCTTCGGGGCTCCCGGGTGCCTCCAACCTACTACCGATGGCCTCCAACCTACTAGTGATGTCCAACCTACTAGTGATGTCC